TATTTTGGTGAGGGGCTTCATGTTAATTTGCATATTATACTTAATTAAGACTGCATCCTTATACTTTGGCACTTAAAATAGACATTTGCAAGCTTAGTTTTCTACAAACTACATACTGCCTTCCCTGGATACCTTTTTATATCTTCTGAGATAGATTTTTAAAGTTCTGTTTTGGGAGTAATAATAACAGCTTCCTCATGGGACGATATTGGGAGGAACTAGAGGAAATTATACAAAGAAAGCAGCTATGGCCTTGGTGTGCGTGTTGGCCCCATGAACTGTGGACCAGCTTGGCTGCATGCTCTCCCCGAGCAGTTCACTGCATGGTAGAGCGTGGTGCGCCCCCAGCCCTGCTGCTGCCTCCACCTCCACCTCGGGACCGGCTGTAGATTAGGCTACAGTCTTTAAGGAGTAGACATATTCTTCAATTCTGTGGTGTCCTTGGTCACACATTTATGGAGTTTCTGAAGAACAGTGGAGATTATTGCCAGGCACAGCACGACCTCTGTGCAGACGAGTGAACTGTAGAAATTCATTACTGCTCCACCAAGAAGCCCCCATGTGAGTGGTTAACCTGGACACAGAAGTGTTGAAAGCTGCAGAGCATTTTGTAAGAGTTCTAACCTGGATGGGGTTGCCCTCAGTGCACTTCCTTGCTATCGCCTCAGTATGACTGGGTTGAAGAATTGCTGCTTCATTTCCCATTACTCCCAACGTCACTCGCAGCACTGAGAGTGTCCAGTGGAGTACCCTGAAGTAGACTCAGTTTCTTTGCATCACTTCTGCATTCAATTTTTAAATTCTTTCATCACCCTATTGAGTGTTTTTTAACTAAATTATCATAGCTCGCATGAATCGCCTGCTCCTGTGGAAGTCACATACAAGAACATGAGATTTCTTATTACACACAATCCAACCAATGCGACCTTAAGCAAACTCATAGCGGAACTTAGAAGTATGGTGTTACCACAGTAGTGAGCATGTGTGGAGCAATTTCTGGCACTCCTGTTGGGGGAAAGAAGACTCCGTGTTCTTGAGTGGCCTTCAATGATGGTGCACCACCATCCAACCAGATTGTTGATGACTGGTTAAATCTTGTAACAATTAAGTTTCATTAAGAGCTGAGTGTTATATTGCTGCTCATTGTGTTGCAGGCCTTGGAGGAGCTCCGGTGTTTGCTGCCTTAGCATTAGTCGAAGGTGGAGTGCGATAGGAAGAGGCAGTGCAGTTCCTAAGACAAAGCGGTGTGGAGCTTGTAGCCGCAAACAACTTCTGTATTTGGAGAAGTTCCGTCCTAAAATGTGTGCGGCTGTGCTTCAAAGACTCTGATGGTCATAGAAACCACTGTTGCATTCAGTAAAATGGGGCCTGATGCCATTGTCTTGGAAGTGGAACTTGAGATGGGACCTAATTTGTCTTACATCTGAGCCGACATGTTGACATGGTGCATAAGTCTAATGAGGCTTTCATAGGAGTGTTGAAAAGCAGTTTTACCAGGCCATAAGCTTGACAGAATTGCAATGTCTGTGTTTGGGTTCTGATCAACCTATTTTGACACTTAGCAAAAGATTCTTACTGTTCAGCATTTAAAATGTGCTTATCATTTGTACCAATTCACTTTTCCTGAAATTATGCAGTATTGAGTTATGTCTTTAAATCTATTCCCATGCCAGAATCTTATCAATATACTAGAGGCCCAGTGCACGAATTTGTGCACAGGTGGTGTCCCTCCGCCTGGCCGGTTGGCTGGCGGGGGGAGGGACCACGGGAGGTTGGCTGGCTGTGGGGAGGGGCCAAAGGAGGTTCTGATCAGTGCCATCGAGGCTGGCCGGCTGGGGGAAGGGGCCATGGGAGGTTGGCCTGCCGCCCCATCGGAGGAGATGGGGCCTTCTGGCCGGGGGGAGGGACTTTGGGAGGTTGGCTGTGGGAGCGCACTGACCATCAGAGGGCAGCTCCTGCATTGAGCTTCTGCCCCCTGGTGGTCAGTGCACCTTATAGCTACCAGTCGACTGGTTGTTCGATCATTCAGTTGCTTAGGCTTTTATATATATAGTTTGATAAAATGGTGGTGTGTATTGATGTTAGTTCAACCATATATTTATACTGTTTGGGAATGTGTGGTTATAGTTTTGTGGGAAAAATAATTTGTCAGTGTTCATCAGCTTGTAAAATTTAGTGCGAGAGCTTAAACATCTAAATGAATGAGAAGCATTTATCATCATTGTTTTTGCTTAAAGTTAACTTTAGAACATGTTAAGACTGAATTGCGTTTCACTTAGTACCTAGTACCATTTGAAGTAAAGTGTGTGTGTGTTTTAACGAATGATTAAAGGAAGTTGTCATTTTAGTAAACTCCTTATAGACACAGTTTGTGAGGGTCATGAAAACTATTTACAGTAGGTCCTTGGGTTACGTCTGATCCGTTCCTACCGTGCGACGTAATGTGATTTTCGCCGTAAGTCGGAACCCACCTACATAAGCACCTACGTCACTCACATGGAGCACGTACACAGCAGTAATGAAGTGAAACAGAAAAAAAATTTAAAAGATAACAATTCCTGACCTTTACTTGTGGTAAATAAATAATAAAAAACATAAAGCACATATGTACATACGTCGAAATGATGGAACTTTTTTTTTTTATAAATAAATGGGAGATGGCAGTGTAACCATGAAACAACATACGTTTAGTCCAACGTAACCCGAGGACTGCCTGTATCCATTATAAACTGCTTTTTAGAGATTTAGATAAATTTGAACCATTATGTACTATTCTGTACTGAGAAGAAACAGTATATATAGTAGGGGAAGTCTTTGATTTTAATTTCAATTCTACCAAATAATAACTGGTTAGGGTCAACGTCTGAGCTTCAGTTTTCTCATTTATAAATTAACTAGAGGCCCGGTGCACAAAAATTTGTGCACTGGCGGGGGAGGGGGGTGTCCCTCAGCCCGGCCTGTGCCCTCTCACAGTCTGGGACCCCTTGGGAGATAACGACCTGCTGGCTTAGGCCCACTCCCGGGTGGCAGAGGGCAGGCCCAATCGCTAGGTGCAGCCCCTGGTCGGGCTCAGAGCAGGGCCGATTGGGGAGTTGGGGTGCCTTCCCCTGTCATGCACAGAGCAGGGCGGATCAGGAGGTTGGGATGCCACCCTCAGTCACGCTCAGGGTAGGGCCGATTGGGGGGTTGGGGCATCGCCCCCATCACACTTAAGGCAGGGTCGATGGGGAGGTTGCAGCACCACCCCCTGTCACGCACAGAGCAGGGCGGATCAGGGGGTTGTGGTGCCACCCCTGTCACATACAGAGCTGGCCGATCAGGGGGTTGGGGCGCTGCCCCCTGTCACACACAGAGCAGGGCCCATCAGGGGGTTTGGGGCTCCGCACCGTGTCACACACAGAGCAGGGCCCATCAGGGGGGTTGGGGCTCCGCACCCTGTCACACACAGAGCAGGGCCCATCAGGGGGGTTGGGGCTCCGTACCCTGTCACACACAAGGCAGGGCCTATCAGGGGGTTGGGGAGCTCTCCCCTGTCATGCACAGAGCAGGGCCGATCAGGAGGTTGTGATGCCGCCCTCAGTCACACTCAGGATAGGGCCAATTGGGGGGTTGGGGCGCCGCCCCCTGTCACACTCAAGGCATGGTCGATGGGGCGGTTGGGGCACTGCCCTATCACCTACAGAGCAGGGCCGATCAGGGGGTTGGGGCACTCCCCCCTGTCACACTCAGGGCAGGGCCGATGGGGGGGGGTTGCGGCCCCACCCTGTCACAGAGCAGGGCCCATGGGGGGGTTGAAGGACCGTACCCTGTCACACACAGAGCAGGGCCGATCAGGGGGTTGGGGAGCTCCCCCCTATCAGGTACAGAGCAGGGCTGATCAGGGGGTTGGGGCGCCTTCCCCTGTTATGAACAGAGCAGGGCGAATAGGGAGGTTGTGGCCCTGCCCCCAGTCACACACAGAGCCGCAGGGCGATCAGGGGTCACGCTGATCCCGGTGGCAGGAGGCCTCGTGGTTCCACTGATCCTGGTGCTGGGAGGCTTATTACCCTTTTACTATATAGGATAGAGGCCTGGTACACGATGGGTGTCAGCTGATTTGCCCTGAAGGGTGTCCTGGATCAGGGTGGGGGTCCCCACTGGGGTGCCTGGCCAGTCTGGGTGAGGGGCTGAGGGCTGTTTTCAGGCTGGCAGGTGACTGAAGCTTCCAACCGCTCCTTTTTTTTTTTTTTTTTTTTTTTTTTATTCTGGGCCAGTTTTAGCTTTGAGGCTTGGCTCCAGCTCTTAGGCCTCCACTGCTGAAAGCAGGTTTCTGGCCTTTGTTTACCTTCTGTATTTGAAACAATGTTGCGATCCTGCTGGCTGAATCCCGGTGGACTAAAGTAGGTTTCTGGGGTTTGGTTTAGCTTCTATATTTGTAACATAGTTGCTTAGAGTTGCAGCTCAGAGGCCGGCAGCGGCAGGCGGGGAACGTTGGAGTCCTCCGTCACTGAAGTAAGCAAACCTCATGTTAGTTTCAAGCTGCCTGGCTGCCGGCCGCCATCTTGGCTGGCAGTTAATTTGCATAACGCCCTGATTAGCCAATGGGAAGGGTAGCGGTCATACGCCATTACCATGTTTCTCTTTTATTAGATAGGATTATATAACTTTATAGGTTTTTAATTAATTTAAACGTAAGTATTTGGAACAAGAGGGCTTGATAAATGTTAAGTTTCTTTCAGTAATCTGAAATATGCATACATAGCTCATGCTAATCTAAAAGGTCCTTGTCTGTTTCTTTTTTTAAATTACAGTTACATCCAAGTAAACGACTCAAATTTGAGTGAAAAAAAAAGAAAGCAGCTACATGTAAAGCTCTTCCTGTCACATAACGGGTGTTCAATAGATGATAATTTTTGCTTTTACTGATGTTTTGTTATTTTATTATCTATTTAGATTATGCATTTCTTTAGCTTGTCTTTGGTTAGAAGTTATTTTTAAAAAGACTTGTCTTAAAATGACAGATAGCGGCAGATGAGCCTCCACCGGAAGGATGTAGTTCATTTTTCTCAGTGCACGGAAGGAAGGCCTGTGATGTCGATGCCCTTGAGACTCTTCTGCTGACAGCACCTGAAAGGTAGCTTGTGTGTTTCTCTCTGTAAATGTCATGCGTTCATTGTGCTCCTTTTTCGTAAACATCAAGATGACTTCTAGTTTTTCATGAGCTTTGTAGTCTCGAGTATGGAATCTGGAACCAGGCTGATTAGATTTGGCTTCCAGCTCTGTGGCTTAAAATGTTTTGTGAACGCAGGCAGATCACTTAACCTTTCTTTCTCATCTCATTTTAAAATGGAGATAATAAGAGTACTTGCCGTAACCGGTTTGGCTCAGTGGATAGAGCGTTGGCCTGCAGACTGAAAGGTCCCAGGTTTGATTCCGGTCAAGGGCATGTACCTTGGTTGCGGGCACATCCCCAGTAGGAGGTGTGCAGGAGGCAGCTGATCGATGTTTCTCTCTCATCGATGTTTCTAACTCTCTATCCCTCTCCCTTCCTCTCTGTAAAAAATCAATAAATATATTTAAAAAGCAAAAAGAGTACTTAATATTACTGTTATTATTGAGTAGTGACTGTATCTGAGAAATTACATGTGCTTTGTCATCAGCTCAGTGAGGAATGCTCTGTGCACTAGAGCCAGAGCCTGAAATAACTATAGTCATGATAATGAACTCTCAGGGTAGGATTAGTTTCAGACAAAGAAAACTATTTAATTTGAATATTAAATTGGTATTCAGTGGGCTAGCTTCTGCTTAAAGGTTGGTTTCCTGTGGTGGACAAACGTAATAATACCTCTTGCTATTGGGCTAGGGCGGTGGTCGGCAAACTCATTAGTCAACAGAGCCAAATATCAACAGTACAACGATTGAAATTTCTTTTGAGAGCCAAATTTTTTAAACTTAAACTATATAGGTAGGTACATTGTTATTAACTTAATTAGGGTACTCCTAAGGCTTAGGAAGAGCCACACTCAAGGGACCAAAGAGCCGCATGTGGCTCGCGAGCCACAGTTTGCTGACCAAGGGGCTAGGGCAGTAGGTGTGCACCCTTCCACTGGCCTGATGAACTGGATAGCAATGCCCATTTTTTGTGGTGTTGCTCTGCTGGATCAGAAGTGCTGAGGGTGTTGTCAGTGGGGGTAGTTCTTTCCTGAGGTTATCTGCCCAGCACTTGCTCTCTGCCCAGCAGATGACATGAGTGCTTCTCACTCAGGTGACAACTAAAACCCAGCGGGCCAAGGTGGCTGTGTGGTAAAGTGGTGCTCCTTTGGGGAAAACAAAACAGATTAACTTTTTTTAAATTTGTTATAACAATAATGCATACTTTGTAAGGAAAAGAGTGACAGTGTATCCTCTTTTGAGAGGTGTTACTATTTTTAATGGTTTGGCTTGTATCCTTTTAGACTTTTTTCTGTGGTTATGCATTTGTACAGGAGGTAGGTTTGTTTTTACTGGAGTCATCTTTCTTTAGTACACGTAAGTGTATCTCATTAAGAGAAATTGGTAGGTCATAAAGTCTATGCAGTAATTTCTATTGGTGTCCTGATGTTATTTTTAAAGAAGTGTTTTTGGAGGGTAAGTTTTAAAATTTAAGGAAAACATAAGTTAGGAAGATCATAGTCAAGATGATAGAGGAAGGAGATGCTCTAATTGGCAAGTTATATGCTTGAAGCATTCCTCTGCTTTTTGCTTTATTTGTACTTACGTTTTCAGATAAAAGGATAATTATATTCTATTTATGGTAGAGTCATTTATTTATTATTCTTAAAATATATTTTATTGATTTTTTTTTTTTTACAGAGAGGAAGGGAGAGGGATAGAGAGTTAGAAACATCGATGAGAGAGAAACATCGATCAGCTGCCTTCCTGCACACCCCCTACTGGGGATGTGCCCGCAACCAAGGTATATGCACTTGACCGGAATCGAACTTGGGACCCTTGAGTCCGCAGGCTGATGCTCTCTCCACTGAGCCAAACCGGTCAGGTCTAGAGTCATTTATTAAAGTTTTAGTACTATGAGATCTAGATATATATATCTTCTGGCTTTCCCCCTTTTTCTAGGAATTGGTAACAATTACTAATCAAAGTCTGCATTTTATAGCTAATATTTTATGTAATGTACTATTATTATTTTTAATGATGATGAAGTAAGACTCATACCTGACAGTATTCTTCCTGAAAACTATTTAACATTTCGATACTTTTATATTAAGATGCTCACAATCTTTACTTAAATTATTGTTGCAGCTATATTTTCTTTCAAAACTTTTTAAAGTTTATAATTTTAAGCTTTTGCTATTTATTTTCAGACCCAAGCCCTTATTGTTCAAAGGTGATCACAGATACCCCTCATCCAGTCCTGAGAGTCCAGTGGTGATTTTCTACTCTGAGATTGGTTATGAGGCATTTTATAATTTCCACCGCCAACTTGTATCAAAAAGCAATGCAGGCAAAATCAATTACATATTCAGACATTATGTATCTGTAAGTATTGACTTACTTTACAACTCTTCTAAATATTAATTTGCCCCGCATGATTTTATCACATAAGCTAATAATTTTTCCGTTTATAAAATTTTACTTTTTTGAAAAGTTAAGTACTTTCATAAAATGCTTTTTGCACATAGGAGATACTTTGCTTACTTTTCTAAAGTTTAAAACAGTTATGCTTAAAAATAGCGTAATAAAGTTCATATTCTATTTCAAAATGAACCACGTAAATTATATTTAATTTGGCCCAGATTTAATATGCTTGCATACTATGGAACTAATTCTTTAATTAATTTCCTTTCTAAACTTCTTTTTTAAAAAATCTTTTCATAAGATGGAAAAGGAAGGATTTCTGGAGGTAAAAACCAGGCAGAATCGATTGAAAATGAAGGTTTTGATTCCTTGTATAGCATTTAGCTTTAAATTATTTATGTGTACAGCTTGTTAGCCTTAAAGTTTCTATGTTCTAATAAACTCAATAAATATTGGATGCTAAGTCCATGCAAGTAAAAAATTTTGAATGAAAATTTGTATGAGGAGAAACATTCAAATTAATATTTAATTTTTGACAACTGCACTCCTTCCCTCTGCCCCCATACTCTGTTGTTGGTCTTAAAGATTAAAATGTCTACAGGCCCATCCTTATTCAGGGTGGTGGTAAGCCTGTGACATTGGGTCAGCCCAAACCCTGACTGAAGACATTTGAATTCCATCAATGTAAACGTGCCTCCATGTACACACGGCCCCAACACTGCACTGCTGGGCGGAAGTCTCCCTCACTGTTCCCAGCCCTGCTGCACAGGTTGTGAAACTCCTCCTCTTTCTCCATTTCTTCACATGGTTTGGTTCCTTTTCCTTGCCTTTTCAACTGTTCCCTTCCCTGGTTTGGCTTCCTCCTGGAACCCCCATTTTCATACATGTGGCAGGATATGAACCTAAAGGAGGCTAGGATTTCCTTTGCAGTTTAAGTGTATTCTGAGTGCATAACCCGAGGTGTTAGCTACACGGCATTGACACAGTCACGTTCTGTACATTGTGACATTTGAAGAGCTCAGTGGTGATGGTGGAATTCTTGCTCTACTTGCAGCGCCCCAGGAGAGAGCCTGTGTATCTCTCTGGCTACGGCGTGGAGCTGGCCATTAAGAGCACCGAGTACAAGGCCAAGGATGATACCCAGGTGAAAGGTGAATTTGTAAATTAGACCAATGTGTTTTCTTTTTTAAAAATAATGAGTTAAAGGAGAACCTTTTTCCTAATGATAAAGAATAGATTTAGGAATATGATGAACCTGAGTCTTCTGTCCCATGTGAGTTTGGTGACATTAAGCAAATTCCTATGTCCTAATTTTTTCCTGTGTACAGATAATGATATATGCTTCTTAAAGTATTTGTGTGGAGAAAATAAGATGTATAAGTAAGAAATTAACACAGTTTTTTGCACAAAAATATTCAATAAGTAGTAGCTATTGTTATTGATGACATGCAGTTCACAAATAGCCATTAATTTGTGGCCCAATGTGAAATCTTAAATTCTCCTATAATTAACAAACGTTTTAATGGTTTATATTATTTTCGGTACTTGGAACAGTTTACTATGGATACTTCTTGTCATACTCTAGAGTTTTTAATTTATTAATTCAACCACAAGTTTTATTTTTATTTTTTCAAATATGTTTCTATTTATTTCAGAGAGAAAGGGAGAAGGAGAGTTGGAAACATCAATGATGAGAGAATCATTGCTTGGCTGCCTCCTGTATGCCCCCTACTGTGGATTGAGCCCACAACCTGGGCGTTTGTCCTGACCAGGATTCGAACTGTGACCTCCTGGTTTATAGGTCAATGCTCAGCCATACTGGCTGGACTCAACCACAAGTTTTATGTACAGTCTCCTTTATTTCTTTTGTTTTAACCTTTAAATTTTTTTTTAAATGTTTAGTTATTAAGTTGATTGTGGTTCTCTTTCTTTTGAGCTCATTTTAAAGTTAAAAAGGATTGGCTTGGTACATGGAAGATAGCCTAGTAACTCATCATTCTGTTCTCAATAATCTATTTAGGGTTAAGTTGCTGGTTGCATATTCTTTAGAATTTTGATATTGAAAATTCCATTGTTTGTAATTTTAAAGGTATTAATTTAGAAAATTTTAATATGTAATTTTCCAAATTTTAAGGAAAAAAATATATTCATACTTTATCCAGGAGCATAGGCCATATTAAAAACAAATTAATTTTCTCTGTTTGTTTGTTACCATTGCAAAATTAGGTATGAACATTTTAAATGGTATCATAATATTGGGTGTTCTGGTTTTTTTTTTATATTACTCAGACGTATGAGGTTATAGTATTTTTATTTCTAATCTGAGTGATTAGACATGACTTTGCTGTACCTTTACAGGAACTGAAGTAAACACCACAGTGATTGGTGAAAATGATCCTATTGATGAAGTTCAAGGATTTCTCTTTGGAAAATTAAGGTATGTATATTCTTTTGGGAAAGGGTCTTACTCTATTTAAACCTCCAGGCTTCCTCACACTTTACACCATCTTCCATATTGCTGTCTGAGTTACAGAACTCCCAACAGTATTTCATGTGTGTCATCTCATAGGAAGAGATGACGACTTAATTATAGGACAGTTTATGATCTCTAGTCATTCTGAGCACGTATGATTTACATTGAGTTCCTTTTCTGGGCTTTGTGATCGATGGCATAAAATTGCATGTCATTTTTTTATTCACATAGTAGGAGAAATATAATTGTTTCAGTCAATATTTTCCCAAGAAATTAAAATGTATTTTAAGTTAGCGAGGTAATAGCTATTTACTCATGCTAAACGTAGTCTGCAAAAAATGCAAAAGAGGTGTAGCAGGATGTGTAGTAGATTTTATACATGTTCAGTCAAAATACATTAGTATTTGCTCTATGTGAAAGAGAATAGAATATGGTTTTCTTTTGAAGAAAATTTCATAGTCATCCTATGAAGTATCAAAGGATTTTATAGCCGAAAACAGTCTTCTTAGCTCTTTTTTTATTCATTTTACTAGAGGCCCGGTGCACAAAAATTTGTGCACTCGGGGGGGGGGGGTGGTCCTTCAGCCCGGCCTGTGCCCTCTCGCAGTCTCGGACCCCTCGGGAGATAACGCCCTGCTGGCTTAGGCCTGCTCCCAGGTGGCAGAGGGCAGGCCCAATCCCTAGGTGCAGCCCCTGGTTGGGCTTAGAGCAGGGCCGACTGGGGAGTTGGGGCGCCTTCCCCTGTCACGCACAGAGCAGGGCAGATTGGGAGGTTGGGATGCCACCCTCAGTCACGCTCAGGGTAGGGCCGATTGGAGGGTTGTGGCACCGCCCTGTCACTCAAGGCAGGGTAGATGGGGAGGTTGCGGCGCCACCCCCTGTAACGCACAGAGCAGGGCCATCAGGGGGGTTGGGGCTCCGTACCCTGTCACGCACAGAGCAGGCCCATCAGGGGGGTTGGGGCTCCGTACCCTGTCACGCACAGAGCAGGGTCAATCAGGGGGTTGGGGAGCTCCCCCCTGTCATGCAAGAGCAGGGCAGATCAGGGGGTTGAGGAGCTCTCCCCTGTCACTCACAGAGTAGGGCCGATAGGGGAGTTGGGGCATTGCCCCCGTCACACTCAGGGCAGGGCTGATCAGGGGGTTGGGGCGCCGCCCTCTATCACCCACAGAGCAGGGCCAATCAGGAGGTTGGGGCGCTGCCACTGTCACACTCAGGGCAGGGCCGATGGGGAGGTTATGGCTCTACCCCGTCACACACAGAGCAGGGCCCGTGGGGGGGTGGGGTTGGGGCGCTGCACCCTGTCACACACAGAGCAGGGCCGATCAGGGGGTTGAGGCGCCGCACCCTGTCACACACAGAGCCGCAGGGCGATCAGGGGGTTGGGGAGCTCCCCCCTATCAGGCACAGAGTAGGGCTGATCAGGGGGTTGGGGTGCCTTCCCCTGTCACGAACACAGCAGGGCGGATAGGGAGGTTGTGGCCTCGCCCCCTGTCACACACAGAGCCGCAGGGCGATCAGGGAGTTTGGGCACTGCCCCCTCTCACGCTGATCCCAGTGCTGGGAGGCCTCATGGCTCCGCTGATCCCGGTGCTGGGAGGCATATTATCCTTTTACTATATAGGCTAGAGGCCTGGTCCATGGGTGGGGCTGGCTGGTTTGCCCTGAAGGGTGTCCTGGATCAGGGTGGGGGTCCCCACTGGGGTGCCTGGCCAGCCTGGGTGAGGGGATGATGGCTGTTTGCAGCTGGTCACACACCCCGCAGGGTTGGGGTCCCCACTGGGGTGCCTGGCCAGTCTGGGTGAGGGGTTGACGGCTGTTTTCAGGCTGGCGGGTGACTGAAGCTCCCAACTGCTCCTTTTTTTCTTTTTTTTTTCTTTATTCTGGGCCAGCTTTAGCTCTGGCTCCAGCTCTGAGTCCTCTGCTGCTGAAAGCAGGTATCTGGTTTGTTTGGGTTCTATAATCGAAACAATGTATAGCTCCAGCTCTGAGATCCTGGCTGGCTGAAAGCAGGTTTCTGGGGTTTTGTTTAGCTTCTATATTTGTTACAATGTTTCTTAAACTGCAAGCTCAGAGGCCGGCAAGGCAGGCGGGGAACGTTGGAGTCCTCCGTCACTGAAGCAAGCAAGCCTCATGTTCGCTTCCAGCTGCCTGGCTGCCGGCCGCCATCTTGGCTGGCAGTTAATTTGCATATTGCTCTGATTAGCCAATGGGAAGGGTAGCGGTCGTACGCTAATTACCATGTTTGTCTTATTAGATAGGATTATTTTTTTTGCTGATAAATTGTTAAAGAAATAATTCTTCATTGTTGAAAGTCTTACATATGTCCCCCTTTCACCTGCATCAACTCCCTCCAGCTTGCCCCACTCCCTGTCCCAGGCCCTCACCACCTCACTGTCTGCAGCCATGGATTATGCATATGTCCATACAAGGTCTTTGGTGGTTTACCCCTCACCAACCTACCCTCCCCCGTCTTCCCTCCAAGATTCCACACTGTGTTCCATGCTTCCATGTCCCTGGATCCACTCCTGGATCCATTCATCAGTTTATTTTGTTACTTAGATTCCACATATAAGTGAGATCATGTGATACTTGTCTTTCTCAGACTGACTTATTTCACTTAGCATGATGCTCTCTAGGGTTGCTCTGTGCTGTCTCGAAGGGTAAGAGATTCTTCTTTTTTACCATAGTACTCCATGGTGTAAATGTACCACAGCTTTTTTATCCACTCATATACTGATGGGCACTTGGGCTGTTTCCAGATCTTAGCTATTATAAATTGTGCTGCTATGAACATAGAAATGTATACATTCTTTCTGAGTGCTATTTTGGGTTTCTTAGGTTATATTCCTGGAAGTGGGATCACTGGGTCAAATGGCAGTTCTATTTTTAATATTTTGATGAAACTTTGTACTATTTTCCATAATGGCTGCACCAGTCTGCATTCCCATCTGCAGTGTACTAGGGTTCCCTTTTCTCCACATCTTCACCAGCTCTTGTCATTTGTTGATTTGTTGATGGTAGCCATTCTGACAGGCGTGAGGTGATACCTCAATGTCATTTTGATTTGCATCTCTCAGATGATCAGTGACTTTGAACTTTTTATTTTTTAATATATTTTATTGATTTTTTACAGAGAGGAAGGGAGAGGGATAGAGAGCCAGAAACATCAATGAGAGAGAAACATTGATCAGCTGCCTCCTGCACGCCCCCCACTGGGGATGTGCCCGCAACCAAGGTACATGCCCTTGACCGGAATCTAACCCGGGACCCCTGAGTCTGCAGGCCGACGCTCTATCCACTGAGCCAAACCGGTTCTGGCTGAACATTTTTTTATCTGTCTCTTGGCCATCTGTATGTCCTTTTTGAAGAAATGTCAATTTACGTCCTTTGCCCATTTTTAAATTGGATTGTCTGTCTTCTTTTTGTTAAGTTATATGAGTTGCTTATATAGTTTGGATATTAACCCTTTATCAGATGTATCATTGCCAAATATGTTCTCCCATGCAGTGGGCTCCCTTTTCGATTTGTTGATAATTTCTTTTGCTGTAAAGAAGCTTTTTATGTCGCATTTATTTATTTTCTACTTAGTTTTCTTTGTCCTCGTAGATGTATCCATAAACATATTGCTATGACAGCTGTCTGAGATTTTGCTGCCTAAGGTTTTTTGTAGGATTTTTATGGTTTCCCAACTTGCATTTAGGTCTTTTATCCATTTTGAGTTTATTCTTGTGTATGGTGTAAGTTGGAGGTCTAGTTTCATTTTATTGCATATATCTATCCAATTTTCCCAACACCATTTATTGAAGAGACTGCCTCGACTCCATCATATGTTCTTGCCTCCTTTGTCAAATATTAATTGAGCATAATTGCCTGGATTGATTTCTGGGGTCTCTGCTATGCTCCATTGATCTATATGCATGTTCTTATGCAGTACCATGCTGTTTTGATTACAGTGGCTCTGTAGTATATCTTGTAAGCTGATATTGAAAATCCCTCCTACTTTGTTCTTCTTTCTCAAGATTGCTGCAGCTATTCAGGTTCTTTTTTGTTTCCTATAAATTACTGGAGTATTTGTTTCAGATCTGTGAAATATGCTGTTGGTATTTTATTTTTTTTAATTTAAAAAAATATATATTTTATTGATTTTAGAGAGGAAGGTAGAAAGAAAGAGAGACAGAAACATCAATGATGAGAGAGAATCATTGATTGGCTGCCTCCCGTACACCCCACACTGGGGTTGGAGCCCACAACCTGGGCATGTGTCCTCACTGGGAATCGAACTGTAAGCTCCTGGTTCTTAGGCTGATGGTCAATCACTGAGCCACACCAGCCGGATGCTGTTGGTATTTTAATAGGGATTGCATTAAATTTGTAGATTGCCTTGGGTAGTATGGACATTTTAATGATGTTAATCCTACCAATCCATAAACACAATATATTCTTTCACTTGTTCATATCTTCTTCTGTCTCTTTTTTCAACGTCCTTTAGTTTTCTAAATAAAAGTCTTACCTTCTTGGTTAAGTTTATTTCAAAGTATCTTAATTTTTTTTGTTGCAATGGTAAATGGGTTTTTTGTTTAGTTTATTTTTCTGAGAATTCATTACTGGCCTCATCGATTTTTGGGTGTTGATTTTGTAGCCTGCTACATTGCCAAATTCATTTATTAAGTCTAGTAGTTTTTTGTTGGAGTCTTTAGGGCTTGCTATGTACAATATCATGTCATCTGCTAATAATGAGAGTTTTATTTCCTCATTTCCAATTTGGATGCCTTTTATTTCTTCTTGTCCGATTGCTGTGGCTAGGACTTCCAATGCTATCTATAATAATAAAAGCATAATATGCAAATTGACTGAAAAGCGGAACGACTGTGTGGACAACCTTCCGAACTAAGCCGGGGCTGTGAGGGCCGAGGCAGCCAGGGCTGCGAGGGCTGAGCCAGCTTGGGCTGCTCTTGCACAGATTTCGTGCATCGGGCCTCTAGTGTTGAATAAGAGTGGTGAAAACCGACATCCTTGTCTTGTTCCTGTTCTTAGGGGAAATGTTTTAGTTTTTGCCCATTGAGTATGATGTTGGCTGTAGGTTTGTCATATATGGCCTTTATCATTTTGAGATATGCTCCCTCTATTCCCATTTTGGTGAGAGTTTTAATAAAAAATGGGTGCTGGATTTTGTCGAATGCTTTTTCTGTGTCGATATGATCGTGTTGTTTTATTATTTTTTAAAAATATATTTTATTGATTTTTTACAGAGAGGAGGGAGAAGGATAGAGAGTTAGAAACATCAATGAGAGAGAAACATTGATCAGCTACCTCCTGCACACCCCCTACTGGGGATGTGCCTGCAACCAAGGTATATGCCCTTGACCAGAATCGAACCTGGGACCCTTCAGTACGCAGGCCGAAGCTCTATCCACTGAGCCAAAACGGTTAGGGCTGATCGTGTTACTTTTGTCTTTTAATTTGTTTATGTGATGTATCACGTTTATTGATTTGCTAATATTGTACTAGCCTTGCATCCCAGGAATAAATCCCACTTGGTCATGGGTGTAATCTTTTTAATATATTGCTGGATGCGATTTGCTAATATTTTGTTGAGGATTTTAGCATCTGTGTTCATCAGGGATACTGGCCTGTAAATCTATTTACCTACCTTCCTTCCCTCCCTCCCTCCCTCCCTCCCTCCCTCCCTCCCTCCCTCCCTCCCTCCTCCTTCCTTCCTTCCTTCCTTCCTTCCTTCCTTCCTTCCTTCCCTCCCTTCCCTCCCCCCCCCCCCCCCCCGTATTGATTTCAGAGAGGGAAGGAAAGGGAGAGAGAGATAGAAACATCAGTGATGAGGGAGAATCATTGACCAGCTGTCTGCTGCATGCCCCCTACTGGGGATCGAGCCAGCAACCCAGGCATGTACTATGTACCGGAATCCAACTTAGGACCCTTCAGTCTGCAGGCCAACGCTCCATTGACTCAGCCAAACCTGCTAGGGCGCTCAATTATTTTTTTTTGTTTTTATTATTAAATCTTTATTGTTCAGGTTATTACAGTTGTTCCTCTTTTTTCCCCCCATAGCTCCCTTCCACCCAGATCCCACCCCCCTCTGCCCTTCCCCCCCCCACTGTCCTCATCCATAGGTGCACGATTTTTGTCCAGTCTCTTCCCACACCCCCCACACCCATTTTCCCCCCGAGAATAGTCAGTCCATGCCCTTTCTATGCCCCTGATTCTATTCTATTCACCAGTTTATTCTGTTCATCAGATTATTTATTCACTTGATTTTTAGATTTACTTGTTGATAGATGGGTATTTGTTGTTCATAATTTGTTTCTTGACATTTTTCTTCTTCTTCCTCTTCTTCTTAGGGATACCTTTCAGCATTTCATATAATTCTGGTTTGGTGGTGATAAACTCCTTTAGCTTTTCCTTATCTGTGAAGCTCTTTATCTGACCTTCAATTCTGAATGATAGCTTTGCTAGGTAGACTAATCTTGGTTGTAGGTTCTTGGTATTCATTACTTTGAATATTTCTTGCCACTCCCTTCTGGCCTGCAAAGTTTCTGTTGAGAAATGAGCTGACACTCGTATGGGTACTCCCTTGTAGGTAACTGGCTGTTTTCCTCTTGCTGCTTTTAAGATTCTCTCTTTGTCTTTTGCTCTTGGTATTTTAATTATGATGTGTCTTGGTGTGGTCCTCTTTGGATTCCTTTTGTTTGGGGTTCTCTGTGCTTCCTGGACTTGTAAGTCTATTTCTTTCACCAGGTAGGGGAAGTTTTCTGTCATTGTTTCTTAAAATAGGTTTTCAATATCTTGCTCTCTCTTTTGTTCTGGCACCCCTATAATTCGGATGTTGGTATGCTTGAAGCTGTCCCAGAGGCTCCTTACACTATCTTCATATTTTTGGATTCTTTTTTCTTTTTGCTTTTCAGGTTGGGTCTTTTTTGCTTCTTTGTATTTCAAATCTCTTACTTGATTCTTGTGATCCTCTAGTCTGCTTTTGGAACTCTGTATAATAGTCTATATTTCAGTCAGTGTATGCTTAATTTCTAGTTGGTCCTTTTTCATATCCTCGAGGGTCTCACTAGATTTCTTGAGGGTCTCACTAAATTTATCGGCGGTCTCACTAGACTTATTGAGGGTCTTACTAAATTTATCGGCGGTTCCTAGAAAATTCTTGAAAAACCTTAAAAGTGTGGTTTTGAACTCTATATCCAGTAGTTTGCTTTCCTCCATTTCTGTCATTTGTGACCTGTTTCTTTGTCTCCGCATTTTTTATGCTTCCCTGTGTTGATAGAGTGGCTTTCTGTGCTAGGTGTCCTATAGGGCCAAGTGGTTCAGCCTTCCCAATTACCTGAGGTGGACACTCTTGGTGCACCCCTTTGTGGGCTGTGTGCACAGTCTTGTTGTAGTTAAGCCTTGATTGTTGTAGGTATCACTGGGAGGAATTGACCTCCAGGCCAATTGGCTGTGAGAATCAGCTGTGTCTAAGGTGGGAGAACTTCTGTGCTGGAGACACCCCTCTGGGGCAAGACTTGCTTCAGTGGGGCTTTGGTGCTCACTGAGTCTGTCCCATGAGTGTGTCCCTTATGCATCGGAGGAGTTGTAATCTGGATGGTCCCACTCTAACCACTGGGTACACTGGCTCTTGGATTTCCAAGGAGGTGCTAATGTAGCCTCTGCCTGAGGCTACCCAGCAGGAGCCTAGCTGTGAAGCAGTGCAAGCTGCTGTGGGGCCTTGGGCCTTCTTTTGGAAGTTCTGGGTCTCTGTGACCCAGCTGCAGTTTGTTAGGTAATTTTCAGATGCAAAGGGCCAGGCCTTTCATATGCAAAAGCCTCTGGGCACAGCTTGGGTGGGGCGGGGTCTCAGTGGATCAACAGGGCGGAGCAAACAGCTATGGCTGCTCCTTAGTCCTACACTAAGAGGCTCCGCTTCTCAGCGTCCCGGTAATCACTGCAAGCACCTTTGAGAGAAAGCCGCCCTCGAGTTCTGACCGATGCCAGACAATCCAGTTTCTCCCCGTATGAGTCTGGGTCTGTAGAGCCTCTCCCGGAACTGGAGTTCAGAGCAGTCGGGAGCTTGAGACTCCCTCCCGATTGAAAAAGACAATCGCGTCCTCAGCTGTCAGCCCTTTCCACATGCGCCTCCGTACCTTTGCACTTCACTTCCACACCTCCTTTGAGTCTCAGTGTGCTTTTCTCTTTCCTTCTAGTTGTAGAATTTCCACTCAGCCAGCCTTCCTGTGGTTCTGGATGATGTCCGTTTTGTCTTTTTCAAATTTCTTTCTTTATAGTGTCTTTATCTGATTTTGGAATTAGGCTAATACTGGCCTCATAAAAAGAGTTTGGAAGTGTCCTTCCTCTTCAATTTTCTGAAATAGTTTGAGGAGTGTAGGTGTTAGTTCTTCGAATGTTTGGTAAAACTCCCCTATGAAGCCATCTGGACCCAGGCTTTTGTTTGCTGGCAGTTTTTTTTATTTTTTTATTACTGCTTCTGTTTCATCTGTTGTTACTGGCCTATTCAGGTTTTCTGATTCTTTTTGATTCAGTTTTGGGAGGTTGTATTTTTCTAGGAATTTGTCCATTTCATACACATTGTTCATCTTGGTGGCATACAGTTGTTCGTAGTATTTTCTGTGGTGTCAATGGTTACTTCTCAGTTTTCGTTTCTGATTTTATTTGATTCCTCTCTCTTTTTTCTTGATAAGTCTTGCTAACAGTTCATCAATATTGTTTATCCTTTCAAAGAACCAGCTCTTGGTTTCATTGATTTTTTGTGTTGTCTTTTTAGTCTCTGTGTCATTTGTTTCTGCTTTAACACGTTAAGCGCCAATCCTGTTTTGTCTTCCTTACTGCTTAGCCCACTATCCGATTTCACTGATATGCTGGCAGCACCAGTGACTGACCGGTCCAGACGGAAAGTATAGTGTTAGTCACCGGTGACTGACATGGCACTTAATGCACTGAGCCATACCAGGCACACTATGTTTGTTTTTGAATAGCATTAGGATTTCATGTATTTACAGCAGAATGTATTTTTTTGAGTATTGAATACATTTTTTCTTTTTGGACATTCAGAATAGTTATTTAGCTATCTACAATAATTAGACCATTTTTTGATATTTTTATCATGAAAAAGTTTATAATGACTGATTAGAAGTGGATTCTTTGGAAGGTAAAAGGTGTGAGTAAATATTTAACTTTATGCATGTTGTATTTAAGAAATGTTTATGCTCTACATCTGAAACTGGTGTAGAATAATATTGAATGTAAACTGGTTGAAAAAAGTTAAAAATTACAAACAAGAAATTTTGAGTTTCTAGCATTTAAAAGAGCAGAAGGACTCTATCAGCCATTTGTCTGTCTGTCTAAATGATATATCTCTGCTTCTATCTTTTGTTGTAACTAGCTTTAAAAGAATGTACTATATTTCAAGAGAAAACTAAACAGAACCCAATACTCTTTGTTAGCTTGCATTGTATTCATGTGACCAAAGGATTTATGAGCATTTGTGGAAAGAAACTCATTTGGGGATTAGTAGCAATATGGATTCAGTTTTATTTTGAGAAATTATAGACTCACAAAAGTATGGGAAATATTATAACATACCCATGTATTGTACTTACCGCCTAATATTGATTGTTGCTATCATACTTGCTTTTCTGTACCAAAGAATTATTTATCAAGTCCCCCACCCCCAACATACATGTGCTTTTACTTAAGCAAAGAGAAACAAGGTGAAAATCATGAAATAAAAGTGGAGCCAACCTTTGAGTGTGCTTTGAGAAAGAGAAGACACATGACAAGGACTGATTTTATGTTTCTTTCAGAGACCTGCACCCTGACCTGAAGGGACAGTTGAAAGAACTTAGAAAGCATCTTGTGGAGAGCACCAATGAAATGGCACCTTTAAAAGTCTGGCAATTGCAAGGTAATAAAAACATACACAATCACTGACCTACTTTTTTTTTTTTTTATAATATATTTTATTGATTTTTGATGGGAGAGAAACATCGATCAGCCGCCTCCTGCATATCTCCTACTGGGGATGTGCCCGCAGCCCAGGTACATGCCCTTGACCGGAATCGAACCTGCGACCTTTCAGTCTGCAGGCCAACGCTCTATCCACTGAGCCAAAACGGTTTCGGCCGGCCTACTTTTTGACTCTATTTTGTGATACTACAAAAAGGTAGAATTTGAATGCAATTGTATTCATTCATATGATTGTAAAGGTACCACTTATTTTAAAGATAGTCATTAATTATGATTAATCAGACAAGACAGTCCTTTTGTAGACAGATAACGCTATTCAGAAGTAATGTATGTAAATGAGTGCCAGATCTTTCATTGTGTGACCAGATGCATAAGTTTGTAGTATCCTATATAATAAAGAATTAATATGCAAATTGACCCTCACTCTATCATGCCATTACAAGATAGCTGCATCCATAGCGGAGGCAGGGTTCCTGTAACACAAGATGGTTGTGCCCACAGCGGAGGCAGGAACCTGAGGCTGCGTAGTGCCGGGCCAGGGTGGGGGACCTGAAGCTGAACCCCCCACCTGGTGGGGCTTGACAGGGAACTTAAGGCAACGCCCCCCGCCTGGCAGGTATTGACAGGGTACCTCAGGCCGCACCCCCCTGCTCTGCAGGGTTTGATGAGGGACCTGAGGCTGTGCCCCCTGCCTGGTCGGGCTTGATGGAGGTGGGTCTGGCCTGGTCTGGATCTCGCCCAATGGGGTTGGGGCCAACTGGGTCTGGGTCTCGCATGATTTTTAGGTGCACGCAGGTGGGTGGGGTCTTGACTCTGGGCCCTGCGGTGTGCCCCAGACTCCGACAGGAGGAAGATTTTCATATACATTTTACTAATTTTCTTTCATCTCTGACACTTCTATTATAGAGAAAGCAAATAGCAATATTAAAATATTTCCTCTAATTAATTCCCTTTTAATGTGCACACATTTTGTGCACTGGACCACTAGTCCTCATAATAAAAGGCTAATATGCAAATGGTCATCACACTGTCATGCCATAATGACCGATCCGCAGGGACCTGAGGCCGCGTCCCCCACCTCGGGGCCAAGGGACCTGAGGCCACGCCCCCTGCTCTGGTGCAGGGGCTGGGGGACCTGAGGCTGCATTCCCAGTCCGGCGGGGCTTGACAGGGGTGGGGCTGGCCAGGTCTGGGTCTCGCTCAGTGGGGGTGGGTCTGGGTGGGTCTGGGTCTTGTGCGATTTTGAGGTGCGTGCAGGTGGGTGGGGACTTGACTCTGGGTCTTGTGGCGTGCCCCAGATTCCGACAGGAGGAAGATTTTCATATATATTTTACTAATTTTCTTTCATCTCTGACACTTCTATTATAGAGAAAGGCAAATAGCAATATTAAAATATTTCCTCTAATTAATTCTTTTAATGTCCACAAATTTCGTGAACCGGGTCACTAGTCTATACTAATAAAAGAGTAATATGCTAATTAGACCATATCGACCAGACATGTCCCAGACGTCCAACTTCCTTCCGAACAAAGCCATGGTGCCAAGGACTGAGGCAGAGGTGGTTAGGGGTGATCAGGCTGGTAGGGGAGCAAGCAGTTAGGGGCCCGATCAGGTCGGCACAGGGAAGCAAACAGTTAGGGGGCGATCAGGCCGGCAGGGCATGGCAGTTGCGGGTGATCAGGCTGGCACAGGGAGGGCAGTTGTGGGCGATCATGCCGTCAGGGGAGGGTAGTTGGGGGCGATCAGACCAGCAGGGGAGTGGTTAGGGGGCTATCAGGCTGGCAAGCAGAGGGGGTTAGGGGCGATCAGGCAGGGAGGCAGGTGATTGGTTAGGAGCCAGCTATCCTGGATTGCGAGAGGGATGTCTGACTGCCAGTTTAGGCCCACAGAGATCAGGCCTAAACTGGCAGTCAGACATCCCCTAAGGGGTTTCAGATTGGAGAGGGTGCAGGCCGGGTTGAGGGACCCCCCCCCCACCCCCCCATGCATGAATTTCGTGCACCAGGCCTGTAGTTTGTAATAATAAAAGTATAATATGCTAATTATTCAGGATAAAGCTGGGGTTGTGAGGGAAGCCCAGGTCCTGGGTGCCTGCTGGTGGCTAGAGGGAAGCCTGGGTTCTGGGTGCCAGAAGGAAGCCATTGCCGGCAGCCGGGGGAAGGAAGTTCTACTCTTGCATGAATTTCGTGCATCAGGCCTCTAGTAGAAACATATCTGCCTTGGTCTCTGTGTGTCTCTGTGTATACATTTATTAAATAGTATATCTATCAAATGTCAGAGGTATGTCAGTATGGGAGAGTGTATGTATACTTTTCTGGTCCAAAAAACTATTCATTAATTTTTTCTCCAAGATAATTTACTAAAGTCTTATGTTATAATTTGAGATTTGTTGTAAATTCAGAAGAAGGAAATGTATTTGGGATGGATTTATCTTCTGCTTAGTGAATTAGTATATGCCCTATTGTTTCATGCAGGTAGATGAAGAAACATTTATAATAGATACCGTAGGGACCTAGGAAGTCAATAAAATCTGAAGTTAAATGGTAGGCACTCTCATGGATGGTTGTATTCTAAGGCATTCTTAATTACCAAGAAAATAGTGGGAAATAAATGTGTTTTCTTTCCTAGTTTTCATTGCATCAGATTAATACACTTTATGTTATATTTTACATTGTTGCAGATCTAAGTTTCCAGACTGCTGCCCGAATCTTGGCTGCTCCTGTTGAATTAGCTTTGGTTGTTATGAAGGATCTTAGTCAAAATTTTCCTACGAAAGCCAGGTAATATAGGGGATTAAGGCTTTGAGGCATTCATCTCCTGAACATATACCTAATTATCTTCACATTTATATGTAATTTGAAGCAATTAAAATACGTAAATGCTTAGAAAATGAAAGTTCTCTTGCTAGCAACACCATTCTGCTAATGGTGCTCTCTTTCTGAGCAGAGGCAAGACTGCATTGTTTGGTTGAAGAGACCCATATTGGTTGTATTCCTGGCATTGCACTTCCTGGCTGTATGACCTTTGTAAATAAACTTTCTTCAGCAGTGAAATAGCTGCCTTTCAGGATTGGATGAATTAACAATCTAACCTAAGCAAACATAACCAATCGAGGGTCTCACACGGATGATAGTATTTTTCTTTCTGAAGAGTTTCATATATATCATCTTATTTAATCTTGATGAAGAAAATGAGTTATAGAGGCTGACGGTTCCTAGTGACAGAGTAAGATTCTGAATGCAGCTTTTCCAGTGTCGGGTCCAAGCCCCTCTGCCAGGGGCTGGACCTTCTGGGACCCTGGGTATTTGATGAAGAAGCCATGAGAAGTCATGGGTAGATAAGGGAGTGTTCATTGTAGGAGACAGTGGCTATGTGCCACAGCTAACAAAGAGCCACTAGATAAAACAGTTCTTTAAGCAAAGATCCGCATAGCAGGTAGCCACACACCAGCTAGATAACAATACATCTTTCCACATAGCAGCAGCAGCCTCACCTAGTAGCCACATCTGAACTCACGGCCTCAGTAGCTTCAGTATGTTACTGAAGTAGCTTCAGTATGTTAATACTACTTAGATAAAAGAGGCTTTCTGCCAAGAGTGACATCAGTCATTTGGGTTATAGAAGCTCATGCTTATGCAGTCTAGATTGCTGTATTCTTGCACCTGGGTATCTTAGCCTTAAACATTCTTTTTAAGATTCCCACACTCAGAGTGGCCTTGGGCATCTGGCATACTGTGGCATGGTTCCCACATCTGGTATTGCTTTCAATTGAATAGTGTAGCTCTCCACATCTCATAAATGCATGGCAAAGTTGTTTTAAAAGCCAAATTGTTATAAACTAATGACTTAAGTGGCAGTTTTTCTTAAGTCACTGAATGAGGTATTTTGAATTCTGATATGAGAGGTTTTATTAGTCTTGAAAATATTTCTTAGGACTTATAAATCATATAGTATGTTCTCCTTTAGTCAAGCATACTATTGAAGATGTACATGTAGGATTCCATCTTCACCCACAAGTGCTTAAATAGGATGAGCAGTCTGTCGCCTTAATTTATTTAACATTATCCTTTAGCCTGTTAACTATAGAGATCATATACATGAATAGAGTTACATATAGTTAACTAAGATCTTGGAAATAATTGTACTTGCATTAAAATGCTGCCATTACTGCTACTTTTCCATGATATTGTATCTTTTAATAATGAAAAAATATGTACACATCTGAGAGGAGAAATATGTTTATCAATTGTAAAGGTTTAAGATTTTTTCCATTAGGTTTTTGTATTTTATCAAGCAATTTGTTGTTTCATATGTAAATATAGGGAAGTTGAAGGTATTTATATAAATATTAAACCAAGTACTGTTAATGTTTTATTTCCTTAGAGCAATAACAAAAACTGCTGTGAGTTCAGAACTTAGAACTGAAGTGGAAGAGAATCAGAAGGTAATAACCAATGGAAAATAGTGGCCTTTCTGTTTTTTTATTATAGTTATAAAGTTGAGGAAATCTGAGTTAAATCTGTGACATTAATAGTTTTAATCTTGTTTGATCAAAGATAGTGGTATTTTAATTCATTTCTGTAATCTTTTATATTTTTAGTTTTTAATCAAAGTTGAATATAATTTAAAGCACCAAATGATGCCACCTGTTTATTAACGAAAATAGCACCCCCTCAACATGTCTCACTCCCTGTGGGTCCCTTTTCCCAGAAACATCTGCTTCCAGCCCTTAGCTGATTATTTTGATATCTGTCTCCAGACTTGTAACAAGCTTAAATTGGTACTTTATTTTTGAATTTCAGACCTTATTTATTGACCTCTTATTACAAGGATGAGGTGTAACTTTCTTTCACTATCCCCTCCCACCCTTGTCTACCATGACTCCATATTGGCACTTTCCCCATCTCTTCACTTTCCCTGTATTTTTCTGTCATGATTTTATCCATTTTTGATCTCCACTATGGACAGGTTTTTCATGTCTAGTGCATAGCACTTGTCCTGGGACCTTCCTTTAACCTCTTTTGTTGGATGTGCTGTTCCTTGAATTCCAGGTCTTTGTTTTTGGTTATTCCCTTATTTTAGTGCAGCAAATCATTCTTCATGAGAAAAGTTGCATGCAAGGTAAATTTCAGACTCTGAGAAATCAATTTTCTATTTTTGGTTTTATTGATAGTTTGGCTGGGTATAGAATTTTAGATTGGAAATCATTTAGAAGTTTGAAGGCATTACTGCTTTTAATTTTGATTTCCATTGTGGCTATTGAAAAGTCTGAAGTCTTTGAGATCTGGCTTTTCTTTCTAGAATCATCTAGGATCTTTTCTTTGACCCTAAAAATCTGAAATTTCACAATGACATGTCATTTAGAAAAATCTGTACTGTTGGGTGATTGATAGGCCTTTTAATTCTGAAAATTATTTTCTCTAGTTTGGGGAAAGTTTTTGAATTATTTATTTGCACTTCTTCCATTGGCTTGATTTTCTGTTTTCCTAGAACTACGTATTTTAAGATTTTGCACGTCCTTGGCCTAATTTAAAACAACAACCACCTTTTCTATTTTTCAATTATTTTGTCTTTTACTATTAAACTTTCTGGGAAGGATTTTCCACTCCTTGGTTAAGGTTTATTTGTCGTGGTCTCTTGTCTTTAGTGTTAGAGGCTTTCCAGGATGGCTGGTGTCTGTGATAAGGAAGAATGAGGCAGTCAGAAGCTGATTGGAAGCCCTAAGGGTGAGGCTTTTTGACTGTCTAGGGAACCCCAGTGACAGTGTCTTTCAACCTTCCCCCTTGAGCTGTTGAGTCTCAAGAAAAGGATCTTCTATAGTCTTCTGCCTGGAGGGTGAAGTTGGCTGCCCACGTGGAAGAGGCCCAGTAGAGAAGAACAGTCAGGAACTTCCACTCAGTACCCTGTTTTCAGTGAGGGCTTTCCACCCTCAATTGTGCTTCATTTCCCATAGTTCCAGATTCTCTGTCTTACTCTTTCCAAGGATGAGCCTCCAGTTTTTTGGAGTGAATCATGACAACACTCACCTGCTGTGTTAAATTAGGGGAGCCTGGGGCTATCTTCAAAAGGCTTTCAATCAGAACTCATTTTTAGCCTAATAATTGCCCCTCACACATGTATTCTTTGTGCTCTCACTTCCTGGTGTAACTGTTGCCTCTTCCACTGTTAGCCTAGCATTCAGCTTTCTCAGGATGACTAGACACTACTGCTCACGCCTCTCTCTAGCTTCCCAAATTAGTTTCTTTTCTGTTCTCTTTTTTGTTGTGGATTTATAACTTTAAGAGAGTCATTTTTTTAAAAACTGACATTTCCAGAATGTTTCAAAAGATGGAAAAAATGCTTGTGTTCAATCTACTACCTGTACACCAGATTTTTCTAAATCTTTATGTAGATTAGTTACTTAAATAGACCTGAGGAATAAGTAAACCAAATATATCAAATATTTGCTAATTTGAAGAAACTTGACAGTTTTTATTTACTTAATTTTTAATTTCCAGGATAACAGCATCAAATATTACCTTAATTTTAGGTCTCCCCCAGGAAAATAAAGGTTATACATCCTGAATTTTTCATTTTTTTGAGTAAAATATTTTATTAAAGTATAAAAACCAAAAATATAAAACACATACAAAAACATGCATGGAATTTTAGTGTGATGGATTTTCAGTAAGCGACGCCAACTATGTTATCAGCATCCAGATCTACAAGTAGATGTGAGCTGTGTCTTTCTTATAGTCAGAGGGCACTGTGCTTGCTGCCTGGGAGGGAGTGGACGTGCGTTTTTCTCTCCTGCATAAGAAAATTTAATTTTCATCGATACAACATCTTTCACTGATACAACCCTTAATCTTACTTGCCATTTAATCCTGAAAGAGTACAGAAGCAAAGCCTTGGCTTCCTCATTGTTTTGTTTGTGTTTTTCCCATGCAGCGCTAGATCTTAAAGATTATTTCTCTTAGTCAACTGGCCACGGGAGCAGGAAGGAGCTCCAAGTCCCTGTCCTTCCCCAGCAGTGGGAGCATCTGGGTGGCCACGGTCTCAGGGAGCAGCAGCTGAAGGCGCCCCCTTTCCCCAGGGACGCCAGAGAGCTAGGTTGCATGTAGGTGCAGTCCTTAGCACAGAAATTCAGAGTTTCTTTGTGTGCCTTAGTTTGGAAGTTGAAGGGAGGTATGAGGTTTTGAAGCCCTTCTAGATTAATTCCCTGGACTTTATCAAGAAGGCCCAGCTGTTATTGACTGCTGTCACCATCTTGGTTGGCATCACCAACAGGGGAAAGTAACAGAAGTCCTCTTTTATGAAAAGTGGCCCTCAGCACTTGGCTAATTTGAACCCCCCTCCCTCCATTATAGGCAATAGTGGGAAGGAGCGGGGGAGGGGGTGGGAGGAGAGGAGTAGGCCTCATAAGCCAGCAGTTTGACCAGATAGGGTAGTAAACGCCAAATGGACGTCTGTAAAAGGAAATCTTCCCCTAGCCTTGGGGTTTCCTGTGGGACTTTAAGAGGATGGCAGCATTAGTACACATAATAAAGCTAGAAACGTGGACGTTTCTGTTGAACATTCTCTTCTTGCTCAATAATTTTTTTTAAATATTTCAGTATTTCAAAGGAACTTTAGGGTTACAGCCCGGAGACTCAGCACTGTTCATCAATGGACTTCATATAGATTTAGATACGCAGGATATATTCAGGTATGGATAATATTTCCCATGCTCTGAAAGTCTTGATCATGTGCAGTTCCTTGCTGTGCATTCACATTGTTGCCATGGTGGTGGCATGTTAGCAAGCCTGATGGCTCACCAGGCTCAGGGAGAGCACTCGGGAGGGTCTGTGTTCTGACTGGGAGGGTACGATGACACTTTGCCTTTTTTCCTTAATCATAATGTCCATTTAAGGCCTTGGACACGTAAGGCCCAACTGTCTTTTGAGAATGCCCTTTTAGAAGCTAAGTGTTCCTATTAACTAGGAAAGCAGAAAAGAGCGGCTTTTGCTCTGGGAATAGAGTGAAGGAGGTTATTCAATGTGCTGCTTCTGGTGTCCAGAACACCTCCCTTTCTGTTCTGAAAAATGTGATTTAGGACTAAATTGTTCTAAATTGCCCTCATGAATTTTTGGAGCAGGTTGGTGGACAGTCAGGTGGACTTCCCAATTTATCCTTTGAATTAAAATTGACAGGCGACACCATGGTTTCATAGCAGCAGAAACAAAAGCTGTTGCTAATGCTTCAGAAGAAGCACTTTCCCCAGTGTGGTGTTTCCACACTGACTGAGCTGTATGTTCACACGCTACTCTACAGAGCTAGTGAAAGTTAATAAGGCACTACAAGATTGCCCATATTTGTCTTTTTAATTAAAAATATATGTCTTTAATTTTCATAGTATTACAGACTGGGTACTTGCTCATAGTAACTTTTAAGTAATTCATCTATATCAGAGAACTAAAGAGTAAAGTCTTTATCCTGTCCTCTTATTTCCTCTCCCCTAGCAAACCTCTCCAGCTGTGGTCATATGTTGTGTGCCTGTGTAAATTGCTACTGATATTAAAACATGTTAAACATATGTAACCTAGTATTTCTTTTTTTGGTGTTTTTTTAATAAACTCTTTGTTTTGAGATAATAGATTCATGTGCAGTTGTAAGAAATAACACAGAGATTACTGTAGCATTTTTTAAGGTGTGCAATGTAAATTCCAGATTTAGGATTATTTTGCTCTGAAATTGTATGTTTATATTAGATCATTCCTATATGCAATGTATATGTTGATAAGTATAAGTAAGCATGAACCAAGAAGTAAGTCCTACTTGCTTTTTTCTACATACTTGACCAGAGGAAACAAAGGGAAGATCACCCTTTTTTGATTTCTCAACTAATTCGATAGGGAATTGAGTTTGAACTGATACAGTTTTTTATGGCAAGGGTGTTTTTAAAAGCTTTTTCTTCTAAATACCTATTTTTTTTTCAGTTTGTTTGATGTATTGAGGAATGAAGCTCGGGTCATGGAGGGTCTACACAGACTGGGAATCGAAGGTCTTTCTCTGCACAATGTTTTAAAACTGAACACCCAGCCCTCCGAGGCTGACTATGCCGTGGACATCAGGAGTCCTGCAATTGCGGTAGGTGTTCTATCAGGCCCAGGGACACCTGGCCAGCTATTTTGTTACATTTTTTTTTTATGAGAGGTAAGTTATTTCTGCCAGCTCTTTTGTTGGCATCAAACAAAGATTTACCACAGCTGCTTATATGGGATTCTATGCATGTAATATCAGCACTTAAATGCTCTAAAAAGTTGAGTTATACTTAATATGGTTAAGACAGTGATTTTTCCACTTTTGTATCACCGTGTGATTCAGCGGAGCATGTCTTGGGAAAGAGTGTTTAGTTTGTATTTGCTCTGTTGCATATTTGACCTTTTTATATGTGAAGGATTCATGTAGATTAATATCTGCTGTATGATGCCTCTGGGCCTTTGTCTTCACATCCGTAAGAGAGAGTGGAGGGAGTTGAGCTATCTTGAGCAGTCAAGGTGAAGTGAGATCAGTGTTGGAGATATGTCTAGCTCACCCATGCCACTCTAGTCCTTTGTTTCTTGATTTTGTACTGCATTTATTTTAGGGAATATGTTTTTATTGATGTTTAGAGAGAGGGCAGGGAAAAAGAAAGGGGCGGGGGGCGGGGGAGAGAGAGAAATTGAAATTGATCGGTTGCCTGCCATATGTGTCCCAACCAGGGATCAAACCCAAAACCTAGGTATGTGCCCTGACCCGGAAATTGAATCAGAAACCTTTTGGTGTATAGGACATTGGACAATGCTCCAACCTACTGAACCACACTGGCCAGGGCTTTAGGGACAGTTTTTAAAAAGAAAATAATATAGAACTTAGATGGTCATTATTTGAATTGTCACTTGGTGCTATTTTGGTGAATATTGCTGTTATTTACTTTTCTATTAAAAATGTTTTTAGTTAAAAAGAGTAAAGAGAGTAACATAATTAACAACTGTGTGACCCACCACTATACTTACTAAATGTTAGCATTAATTTTGTGTCAGATCTATTATCTCTCGCTGTTCCCCTCCTGTATGTAATTCCTCTTCTGCAGTTGTTGTGCATCCTTTCTGTCCCTGTTTTATCATATTATTCCATACTGTATGTTTTAAAAGTTTGATAAATGCTATATCAGTGTCCTTCACGAGTTTCCTTCTTATTCAACAATTTTTTCTAGACTTATATAGGTTGACATGTATCAGTCAGTTTTTGCATATGAGGTTTTATCTTTTACTGATTTAAAAATTTTTTTACACAAAGTTTAACATTTAAGACATACAAAAGAGTTTATATTGAAGTCTCATCTCTCAACTCTTCAGTTTTTCTTCCCACAAACAACAGGTATTACCAATTTTTGTGTATCCTTTCAGAAATACTCTGTTTAAAGTGACTGTTCCAGATACCAACATACATGAGAATTCTCAGTGCTTTGTGTCCTTGCCCACTTTTAGATCTTGACAAACTTTTACATTTTTTTCAGTTTAAGAAGTTTGAAATTTTATTGTGCTTTCAGTTCATATTTCTCAGATGACCAGTGTCAATGTACCTCTTTCCTTATGTTAATTGCTCACATGAGTTTTTAATATAAATTTCTCATTCATGTTTTTTACTAATTTCTGTTTCTCATATATTGTTTGCCTTTTATTGATATGTTAGATTTTAATACATATTCATTCTTTAATTGAATTTATTGGGGTAACATTGGTTAATAAAATTATAGTTTTCAGGTATACAATTCTACAGTACATCATCTGAATATATATATATTGTGTGTTTACCACCCAACTCAAGTCTCCATCTATCACCATTTATCTTCTCTTCATCTTCTACTATACATATTCTCGACACTAGTCCTTTATTGCTTTTGTAGGTTGCAGGTATCTTCTATTCTTGGCTTATGTTTTAGCCACTCATTTTTTTTTTTAATATATTTTATTGATTTTTCACAGAGAGGAAGGGAGAGAGATAGAAAGTTAGAAATATTGATGAGAGAGAAACATCGATCAGCTGCCTCCTGCACATCTCCTACTGGGGATGTGCCCGCAACCCAGGTACATGCCCTTGACCGGAATTGAACCTGGGACCTTTCAGTCCACAGGCCGACGCTCTATCCACTGAGCCAAACCGGTTTCGGCTAGCCACTCATTTTTTACTTGATCTTTATATTTTTGAAAATGGTGTTTTCCTGTGTAATTCTTAAAACAATTTAAAGTCTTACTATTTTTGCCGAAACCGGTTTGGCTCAGTGGATAGAGTGTCGGCCTGCGGACTGAGGGGTTCCGGGTTCGATTCCGGTCAAGGGCATGTACCTGGGTTGCGGGCACATCCCCAGTGGGAGGTGTGCAGGAGGCAGCTGATCGATGTTTCTCTCTCATCGATGTTTCTAACTCTCTATCTCTCTCCCTTCCTCTCTGTAAAAAGTCAATAAAATATATAAAAAAAAAATAAAGTCTTACTATTTTTTCTGCAAATTTCATTAATGTTGACTAAAGTATATGTACCATGTTGTATTTTTTTTTCTAGTGGATTAACAACCTGGAGGTGGATGCCAGATATAATTCATGGCCTTCTAGTCTACAAGAGTTGCTTCGACCCACCTTTCCTGGTGTTATCCGGCAGATCAGGAAAAACTTACATAACATGGTAGGTAAAAAATTTTTTTTAATTAAATCTTTATTGTTCAGATTATTACAGTTGTTCCTGTTTTTTCCCCCCATACCTCCCCTCCACCCGGTTCCCACCCCATCCTCTGCCCTTAACATCCCCCCCCCCCCACTCACATTGTCCTCATCCATAGGTGCACGATTTTTGTCCAGTCTCTTCCCACATCTCCCACACTCCTTTCCCCCCCCGAGAATAGTCAGTCCACTTACTTTCTATACTCCTGATTCTATTATATTCACCAGTTTATTCTGTTCATCAGATTATTTATTCACTTGATTTTTAGATTCACTTGTTGATAAATGTGTATTTGTTGTTCACAATTTGTATCTTGACCTTTTTCTTCTTCTTCCTCTTTTTTTTTTTTTTTTTTAATATATTTTATTGATTTTTTACAGAGAGGAAGGGAGAGAGATAGAGAGTTAGAAACATCGACGAGAGAGAAACATCGATCAGCTGCCTCCTGCACATCTCCCACTGGGGATATGCCCGCAACCCAGGTACATGCCCCCGACCGGAATCGAACCCGGGACCCTTCAGTCCGCAGGCCGACGCTCTATCCACTGAGCCAAACCGGTTTTGGCTTCTTCCTCTTCTTAAAGGATACCTTTCAGCATTTCATATAATACTGGTTTGGTGGTGATGAACTCCTTTAGCTTTTCCTTATCTGTGAAGCTCTTTATCTGACCTTCAATTCTGAATGATAGCTTTGCTGGATAAAGTAATCTTGGTTGTTGGTTCTTACTATTCATCGCTTTGAATATTACTTGCCACTCCCTTCTGGCCTGCATAGTTTCTCTTGAGAAATGAGCTGACACTCGTATGGGTACTCCCTTGTAGGTTACTGACTGTTTTTCTCTTGCTGCTTTTAAGATTCTCTCTTTGTCTTTTGCTCTTGGCATTTTAATTATGATGTGTCTTGGTGTGATCCTCTTTGGATTCTTCTTGTTTGGGGTTCTCTGCACTTCCTGGACTTGTAAGTCTATTTCTTTCACCAGGTAGGGGAAGTTTTCTGTCAATGTTTCTTCAAATAGGTTTTCAATATCTTGCTCTCTCTCTTCTTCTGGCACCCCCATAATTCGGATGTTGGTATGCTTGAAGTTGTCCCAGAGGCTCCTTACACTATCTTCATATTTTTGGATTCTTTTTTCTTTTTGTTTTTCCAGTTGGGTGTTTTTTGCTTCTTCGTATTTCAGATCTTTGACTTGATTCTTGCGATCCTCTAGTCTGCTGTTGGAACTCTATATAATATTCTTTATATCAGTCAGTGTATGCTTAATTTCTAGCTGGTCCTTTTTCATATCCTCAAGGGTCTCACTAGATTTCTTGAGGGTCTCACTAAATTTATCGGTGGTTTCTAGAAAATTCTTGAAAAACCTTATAACCGTGCTTTTGAACTCTATATCCAGTAGTTTGCTTTCCTCCATTTCTGTCATTTGTGAGCTGTTTCTTTGTCTCCGCATTTTTTATGCTTCCCTGTGTCGATAGAGTGGCTTTCTGTGCTAGGTGTCCTATAGGGCCCAGTGGCTCAGCCTCCCCAATTACCTGAGGTGGACACTCTTGGTGCACCCCTTTGTGGGGTGTGTGCACAGTCTTGTTGTAGTTAAGCCTTGATTGTTGTAGGTATCACTGGGAGGAATTGACCTCCAGGCCAATTGGCTGTGAGAATCAGCTGTGTCTAAGGTGGGAGAACTTCTGTGCTAGAGACACCCCTCTGGGGCAAGACTTGCTTCAGTGGGGCTTTGGTGCTCACTGAGTCTGCCCCCTGAGTGTGTCCCTTATGGATCTGAGGAGTTACAATCTGGATGTTCTCACTCTGACCACTGGGTCCACTGACTCTTGGATCTCTAAGGAGGTGCTAATGTAGCCTCTGCCTGAGGCTACCCAGCAGGAGCTACGGAGAGATCTGCAGATTCCTCTTCTTTGTTTGGGGTTTGGAGGTGCCCATATGAGGCCCAGCTGTGAAGCAATGCAAACTGCAGTGGGGCCTTGGGCCTTCTTTTGGAAGTTCTGGGTCTCTGTGACCCAGCTACAGTTTGTTAGGTAATTTTCAGATTGCAAAGGGCCAGGCGTTTCATATGCAAAAGCCTCTGGGCACAGCTTGGGTGGTCCGACCTCTCGGGATCAACAGGGCGGAGCAAGCAGCTGCGGCTGCTCCTCAGTCCTACCCTAAGAGGCCCCGCGTCTCAGTGTCCCGGTAATCGCTGCAAGCACCTCTGAGAGAAAGCCGCCCTCGAGTTCTGACCGATGCCAGACAGTCCAGTTTCTCTCCGTATGAGTCTGGGTCCCCAGAGACTCGCCTGGAACTGGATTTCAGAGCAGTCGGGAGCTTGAGAATCCCTCCTGATTGAAAAAGACAACTGTGTCCTCAGTTGCCAGCCCTTTCCACGTGCGCCTCTGTACCTCTGCACTTTACTTCTGCACCTCCTCTGAGTCTCGGTATGCTTTTCTCTTTCCTTCTAGTTGTAGAATTTCCACTCTGCCAGCCTTCCTGTGGTTCTGGATGATGTCCATTTTGTCTTTTAGTTATATTTTTGAAGTGGTTGTGCGAGGCAGTAATTTCCGGTGTTTACCTATGCCGCCATCTTGGTTTCTCCCCAAATTTTTATTGTCTGATGTGAACTCTGTTTCTGCCTTGCCTGTTCTCCTACCTTTTGTCACATCTAGAATGTCACTTCTCTCCTTACTAGCTGCTGTTGCCCAACACTGCACTGCCAATGTACTCTTGGTCCAGCTCCATATTCACACGAAAAGTGTTTTGAAATGTATTGATCATTTGTAGGGCTGTGAGATGTCAGTGTATTAGGAAATGCTTCTCAATAACCTGAAGATTAGACTATGTTATTTTATTTTTAAGACAGCTCTTTTTTACAAAAAGATGCATATGTTGCTACTTGTTTTTCTTAAATATCTTAATCCCTAAACTTTAATAGATCAGCTTATTTCCTTAACTAAGTCCTCTGTCCTGTTGGCTATTCCATATTTCAGTGCTTCAGGTAGATAGTGGAAGAGGGTTCTTAATTCACCCTCTTTTCCCTCCCATTTCCTTCTCTCCCCTTATTGGCTCCTAAAGAGGTCAGAGGCAGGTGGGTGGCAAAGCTGGCTCCCTCAGCACTTCAAGGAGCACTGTCCTCTGTACTTCCCTCATTCTCAAAACCACTTATTTCCTTCCCTGTCAAAATGTCAATGTTTCTTTTTAACCATATGTCTGACTTATTAAATGAAATACTTTTAAAGCATGTGAAAACTAAATGATGATAGCTTTTATTGTATCAAAGTTGAATGCTGAATTTTGAAATCCTTAGAAATTTAATCTGAATTTTCTAAGGTGGGATAGTTAATAAAACTACGGTTTTTAAGGTGTAGTAAAAGAGAAGGTGTTAGCAATCTGGACTGTACCCCATGTTAGCATACAAAAGAGTTTATATTGAAGTCTCATCTCTCAACTGAGAAATTGACCCTGAGAAAACCCGGTATCCTTTCAGTGCCATGTTTTTGAACATAAAGGGAGGGTAATTGCTATTTGTGTGACTCCTGTCTTATGTGGTTCGTGAGTAGTTGGAAAAAGATGGCCTTTAGGTGAAAAGACTGTGGGCATTTTTGTAGGCCCAGGAACATCTTAGTGAATGTCATTTCATGCATTCCTTTCCCTCTGCCCACAGGTTTTCATGGTCGATCCTGCGCATGAGACCACAGCAGAGCTGATGAGCATAGCTGAGATGTTCCTCAGTAACCATATACCACTGAGGTAACACTGGTGTTGGTTTGAGGATTCTAATTAAACTGGATTTTGTTTGTCATTCTTAAGTGGAAGTCTGGTGCTATTGAATTGTAGGATAATTAATAGTGGGGATCATTAATAGCAACATGAAGCCAGCATCTTTTGGGATAAAGAATTTGATTCTCAAGGAATAGAAGCTTACCACCACTGAATTATTAATCAGTGGTGTGTACACAAGGAATTTGTGGTCTGAGTTTGCTTGCCAGGGAGAGAGTTTTACTGAGTGTGTGTCTGTGTCACAAGCCTCTTCCCTTTCAGTGCAGACAGAGTCTTGTCAGCAGCTTTTGTTAGACTGTCGGGGACTGCATGTATAGGACAGTCATTGTTTAGGTGCACACAGACCCACTTAAATCACTTATGTTGCGTAATATACCAACAGGGTTGTTGAATGGCTAGCATTCCACTTTGCCTTTAAAGAACAATTTTTTTTTCTTTTTTACAATATACTTTTATTGATTTCAGAGAGGAAGGGAGAGGGAGAGGGAGAGATAGAAACATGAATGATGAGAGAATCATTGATCAGCTGCCTCCTGCACGACCCACACTGGGGATCGAGCCTGCAACCTGGGCATGTGCCCTGACCAGGAATTGAACCGGTGACCTCCTGGTTCCAGGGTTAATGCTCAACCACTGAGCCACACCAGCCAGGTGGAAACAGTTTGCTTTGACAGTTGAAAGTCCCAGCCTCCTTTGGGAACCTGCTTTTTTATTCTGCAAGTGATGAATGCCTTTGCCGACCATATTAGAGTAGGATGTGAACTGTGTTTTTCAATAACGAATAGTTTTCTTCTATTAGCTATAGTGTTTGTGTGGGGTACATTCCTTTTAACCAGTTGCTTTTTTTTTCCAATCACAGTTTACATTCAGTATTATTTTGTATTAGTTTCAGGTGTACAGCATAGTGGGTAGACAATCATATACTTTACAAAGTGTTGCCCTTTATATTTCCAGTACCCACCTGGCACCATACATAGTTATTACAATATTATTGACAATATTCCCTATGCTGTACTTTATATTCCCACTAGAGGCCTGGTGCATGAAATTCGTGCACAGGAAGGGTGGGTCCCTCAGCCTGGCCTGCACCCTCTCCAATCTGGGACCCCTCGGGGGATGTCTTACTGCCGGTTTAGGCCCGATCCCTCTGGATTGGGCCTAAACCGGCAGTAAGACATCCCTCTCACAATCCAGGACCACTGGCTCCTAACCACTCACCTGCCTGCCTGTCTAATGCCCGCAACTGCCCTCCCCTGCCAGCCTGGTCGCCCCAACTGCCCTCCCCTGCTGGCCTGGTCGCCTCCAATGGCCCTCCCCTGCTGGCTTAGTCGCCCCCAACTAACCTCCTCTGCCGGCCTGATCTTGCCCCTAACTGCTCTCCCCTGCCGGCCTGATCTTGCCCCTAAGTTCTCTCCCCTGCCGGCCTGATCACCCCTAACTGCCTCTGCCTCGGCCCCCACTACCATGGCTTTGTCCGGAAGGAAGTTGGAAGTTCGGAAGATGGCTGGTTGACCGGTCTAATTAGCACATTACCCTTTTATTAGTATAGATGACTATTGTGTAACTACCAACTTGTACTTATTAATTCCTTCACCTTTTTCACCTCAACCATATTCCTCTCTGGCAACCATTAGTCTGTTCTTTGTTTCTATGAGTCTGTTTCAGTTTTGTTTATTCATTCATTTTGTTCTTTAGATTCCACATGTAAATGAAATCACATGGTATTTGTCTTATTTCACTTAGCTTAATACCCTCTATGTCCATCCATGCTGTCACAAATAATAATTCATTTTTGTGTGTGTGTCTGTTGATGGGCACTTGGGTTGTTCCATATCTTGGCTATTGTAAATAATGCTGCATTGAATATAGGGGTTCATTAGCCAGTTGTAGTCTTTACGATAAGTCCCCCCGCCCCTTCTTTCTTGCACTCAGACTTGGTTTAATCTTCGTGGTTAATGATTCTGAAGATGTGGATGGGATGCAAGATGCTGGAGTGGCTATTATGAGAGCATATAATTATGCTGCCCAAGAAGTGGATCATTATCACGCCTTCCAAACCCTGACACAGGTATGTTTTCATTCAAAATATTGAAGAATTTTTAAATCTAACTTACTCTAAGAAACAGTATGTGGTAAGAGAATTTGTTATATCTGTAAAGAGAAAAGGTAAGAAATCACTAGTTAGTTTCTTTTGGTAAATGTAATGTTGTCTACTTGTTTTTAAAAAATGTTTGCTTTTTCCCCTCTTTAAGACCATCATGATATTTTCATTAGGACTCAGTTTATTATTCAAGTCATAAAATTCTTAATGTCTGCTTTCTTCATATTAACTGGAAACTTTTAAATGCCCTAATTTTACATATACTTAAAATTCTTGCTCAAGTTCAAATATAAAAAACTTCATATTCAATAAATTTAAAAAATTATTATATTCAGAAGAAGTTCCAATTACTCTGTTTCCAGATTAGTGGTAATCATTGAAAACCATCTGAAGCAATTGATTCTCACCACTTTTATTTTACTTGGAAACATGGAGTCAGTCTGCTGTCTATTATGCTTATTATTTGGAGACTAAAGGCCCCGTGCACGGGATTCGTGCACTGGTGGGGGGCGTGGCCTGGGGATTGGCCTACTGTGGGAGCGCCACTCGTCCTGGTCAGCAGAGTGGTCGTGGACCCGCCCTCTGAAGGAGCGCACTGACCACTCCTGTGTTGAGCATCTGCCCCCTGTTGGTCAGTGCCTGTCATAGCAACTGGCCGTTCTGCCATTCAACCGATTTGTATATTAGGCTTTTATTATATAGGATTCAGTCAGGGGTGCTTTTTAATTAGTTAAAATTCATGTTTATTTGGCTAACAGTTACCAAAGGCCCTTTTACCAGACCTTGTATTAGCTGTGAGGGATAAAGAAAGGGGGTAGGAAGTCACCTGTGTCCTCAGAGAACTTAGAGTCTAGTGGAGACACCTCCAAACTGTGGGAAGCATAGCTGACTATGGCTACACTAGGGCCTCAGACCACACAGAGTGGCTGTGGGCATTGTTAGGGAGGGGACACTGTCCCAGCTGAGCATAGGAAGAACAACCGGAGTAGTTTGAACAATGGCTGCAAATCGGAGGTAGCGATTCTAAGTTGTTAATGGGAGGTGAGTAGAGTATTGTGAGGGCCGAGTGGAGAGGAGAACCTGGTTATTGAAGCCAGGGAGTGCACAGGCGTCCAGATCCCAGAGTTAAGCTATTAAAAACGCCATTCTGATCACATGTGGAGATGGATCTGATGAAGGTCAGGAGAGTGGCAGGGATGCCGCGCGAGCTGTTGCTGTTTCTCAGCGCAGTGAGGGTGGCGGGAGTTAGCAGGGCTGGGAGAACAAGGAAATCCAGAGGATGGTGTGTGAAGTCTGCTTTTCAAAGATTCCCCCCCATAGCGATGTGAAGGAAAGGCTAGTAGGAGTTTTCATTTATTTTTGTTTATTCTTAATTGCAAAAGTAAAAAAAATTTCATTGTAAATGTTTTCTCCAAATAATATTAAAGTGTGAATTTAAAATTTAGCTGTCTCCACCCTCTAATCCTGCTCCTTAAAGTTAACCACCATTAAAAGATTGCCTTGTATCCTTCTAGATGTTTAACCGCACATGTATAGACATCTGTTTTGTGTCTCCTTTATAAAAACAGGGATTTTTGCCATATATATTTTGCAATTTATTTCCTCTAAACATCATGGACATGAGTTCTTATTTCCAGGATCTATGCTAATAAAAGCCTAGGTGGTCCTCCGCACAATGTCATCACAAGATGGCCGCCACAAGATGGCTGATGCACAGTGGAGGCGGGGCCTCTTGGAGGAGGTGGGTCACAGCAGGGGAGGGCAGTTGTGGGTGGTCAGGCCAGCAGGGGAACAGCTAGGGGGCGATCGGGCTGGCAGGCAAAAGCATTTAGGGACCAGTGGTTCCAGATTGTGAGAGGGATGTCCCAGATTGGAGAGGGTGCAGGTCACTAGTTACTTATAAATGTTCAGATTTTGAAAAATTTAACATAGTTTTACATTTGGGGCTTAATGTAAGTATGAACAGATTGGTCATTTTAGCAATATATAGTTTCTAAGAAGGCATCTTGAAAATACTAGCAAATCGAATACAACAATACATTAAAAAAATAATATATCATGATAGAGTGGGGTTCATTCCAGGGGCACAGGATGGTTTAACACACACAAATCAATCAATACAATACACCACATTAACAAAACAAAGGATAAAAATCGTATGATTTTATTAATAGATGCAGAAAGAGCATTTGATAAGATACAACTTCAGAAAAGAAATGGAGCCCTAACTGCTTTGGCTCAGTGGATAGAGTGTCGGCCTGCAGACTGAAGGGTTCCAGGTTCGATTCTGGTCAAGGGCATGTACCTTGGTTGCCGGCACATCCCCAGTAGGGGTGTGCAGGAGGCAGCTGATCGATGTTTCTCTCTTATTGATGTTTCTAACTCTCTATCCCTCTCCCTTCCTCTCTATAAAAAAATCAATAAAAATTAAAAAAAGAAAAGAAATGGGAAAAAAAATTTCTTTTTCAATTGTCACCAGAAGAATAAGATACCTAGGAATAAACTTAACAAAGGATGTAAAGGAGCTATATACCGAAAACTACAAAGCATAATTAAGAGATGAAAAAGACACAACACAATGGAAAGATAGTCTGTTTGTGGATTGGAAGATCAACATTGTTAAAATGGCCCTATTACCCAAAACAATATACAGATTTAATACAATCCCCATCAAAATCCCAATGTCATTTTTTAATGAAATAGAGGGAAAAAATAATTGGATTTGTATAGAATCACAAAAGACCCCGAATAGCCAAAGCAATCCTGAGAAAAAGAACAAAGCCAGAGGTATCACACTACCTGACTTCCAATTATACTACAGAGGTATGATAATCAGAACAGCATAGTACTGGCAGAAAAACACAGATCAATGGAACAGAATTGAGAGCCCAGAAATAAAACCACATGTAAATGGGCATATAATTCTTGACAAAAGGAAACAAAAACACACAATGTAGAAAAGAAAGCTTCTCCAATAAATGGTGTTGGGAGAATTGGAAAGCCACATGCAAATGAATGAAACTAGATTGCATTTTTGTCCCCATGTACAAAAATTAATTCAGAATGCATAAAAAACCTAAATATAAGATCTGAAACAATAAAGTACATAGAAGAAAACATAGGAACTGAACTTAATGGACTGGACCTTGATCTTAGCAAACATTTTATGAATTTGACCTCAAAGGCAAGGGAAGTAAAGGCAAAAATAAATGAATGGACTTTATCAAACTAAAAGGCTTCTGTGCAGCAAAAGAAACTGCCAATAAAACAAAAAGGCAACCGACCAGATGGGAGATGATATTTGCAAACGACAGCTCCCAAAGGTTTAATATCCAAAATCTATAAAAACTCACACAATTCACCACCAAGCTAACAATCCAATAAAAAAATGTGCACTTCTCTAAAAAGATAAGTGCCCAATGGATATATATGAAAATATGCCCAACCTTAGTAGGTAATAGGAAAATGCAAATCAAAACTACAATGAGATACCACCTCACACCTGTTAGAATGGCTGTTACCAACAAGACAAGTAGTAACATGTTGGAGAGGTTGTGTAGAGAAGGAAACCCTCATTCACTGTTGGTGGGAATGTAGATTGTACAACCACTGTGGAAAACAGTCTGGCTTTCCTCAAAAAAATTAAGAATAGGGTTACCATGTGACCCAGCAATCCCTCTCCTGGGTATCTACCTGAAATAAACGCAAAAACGTTTATTTGCAAAGATATATGCGCATCTGTGTCCATTGAAGCATTATTCATTTTGGCCAAGACATGGAGACAACCAAAGTGTCCTTCGATTGAGGATGGGATAAAGAAGATATAGTATATACAGTATATATTATGGAATACTACTCAGCCATAAGAAAGGATGAAATACTACCATTTGCAGTAACATGGATGAACCTTGAGAATATTATGCTAAGTGAAATAAGTCAGAAGAAGCTAAGAACCCTATGCTATCGCTAATGTGGATTATAAACTGAAACTTAGATACAGAGAACAGGATGGTGATTACCAGAGGGAACAGGTGGGAGGGGGGGGACTAACGGGGCCTAGTGTTTGGTGACTGAAGATGATTTGACTTTGGATGGTGGCACACTAGAAACCTGTTAATACATTTAATTTTAAAAAAGAAGGCATATTGAGATATATGGAAAAGAGAGTTGCTATTCCCTATTGACCCCATTTGACCTTTTAAGAAAAATAGTCATGTTTTCCTCCACATTCATTAATCTTTTGTAATAAACACTCTGAAATTTAAAAGTGTAGTTGGTTAACCAGTTATTTTTTTCCAGATATATAACAAAGTAAGGACTGGAGAAAAGGTGAAAGTTGAACATGTGGTCAGTGTTCTGGAGAAGAAATACCCGTATGTAGAAGTGAACAGCATTTTGGGGATTGATTCTGCCTATGATCAGAATCGGAAGGTAAGGATTCTTCGGCATTTCTCATTTGACTACAACACGGTACTTTTCTTACCTCCCTCTTTTGATGTTGTTGTTTGTAGTGGTGCTGGTTAAAGTATTAGGTACTAGCATTTAAAAATTTAGAAACCAGATGACATCTCTGAGCTTGCAAATGTAGTTTATATTTCAGTTTTGTGAAGATAATGATTTTTTAGCCGGCATGTTAAATTGAAAAGCCTTTTCGTTTTCACAATGCAATGATAGTACTTGTATGATATATATTCTGTATAAAATCTATTGTAAGTATGATGTATGACTGATAGCCAGGATATGAGGTATGACAGTGTGTATCATTTATAGTTATTCAGGCTAAAGATGGAAATGTCTTAAGAAATGTAATAAACAGTATGGCAAAATGTGGTAATAAAAATATAGAGAAATATTTTAAAATTTTATTTGAAGCTCGTATGTTCCTTAGGGCAATATTAAGTACAGTAAAGCTCTTACCTATTGCAAGCAGGAATGAGGTGTTCAGTTTTTTGAAAACAAATGTTGTGGCAATGAATCAAAATACATTTCCAGAACATTTTCATTTAAAACTATAAAAGGATATTTGTTTACAAACTGCTTTCTTTTTCTCAAATGAAGAACAAGGCCTTTGGTTCTTCTGTTTGGAAATCTGAGCTAGCATTCCTTTAGAGGTCATACTCATGATTGTTTATTTCTCTTTCATCTGAGTACGAAATCCTTTGAGATTTTTATAATCTTCCTCTCCCCTTTTTTAGTTTTCTTACCCACATCTAATTCAGCATCAGCTGTTTTTAGTTTTTCTCCTTTTTGAATTTTGCTACTCATTCATTTTTTTTTTCTTGGGGAGACCAACTTTTTCTTTTGGCAGTCATATTTTATTTGCTGTATAATATTAAATTATGTTTTTTTCATTCACTAAGGAAAATAGTTGGTTTGGAAACAGACACAACTGATTTTTGGTAAACAAACAGCTCAGATGAGGAGAGCAAATATGTGTGCCTTCTAGAGAGCGGCTCACCAGTGTGAGGCTGAGCATGCTCTACATCAGGTCATTGTTGTGTTACCTTATATTGGTTCACAGGTCTGCTGCTATAAATGTTCCTCGTGCCCTAACCGGTTTGGCTCAGTGGATAGAGCCTGTGGACTGAAGGGTCCCAGGTTCGATTCCAGTCAAGGGCATGTACCTTGGTTGTGGGCACATCCCCAGTAGGGGGTGTGCAGGAGGCAGCTGATCGATGTTTCTCTCTCATCGATGTTTCTAACTCTTTCCTTCTCCCTTCCTCACTGTAAAAAATCAATAAAATATTTAAAAAAAATGTTCCACATTTTAGAGATTCAACAAAATACTGTTCAGTAAGAACAAAACGTAACAACTAGAGGCGTTTCTGAAATACTTTGAAATAAGGAATAATGTTTGACTTTTAAACATACCTGGTAGTACTGTGTCAGCCCTATATCATAGAAAGTGGAACAAGAGGTGGTGCCTATTGTGGGGGCGTCACACAGCCTGTTGGGGAGTGACACACAGGAAGAGCATTCAGTTTGGTGGTTGTGATGTTAATGTTTGCATGTTGTAGGTGGGTGGCTTACAGTGGGCAGCTCTGCCAGTTTGGGGCAGTGATTGATGAAAGCTTCCTAGAGAGGTGGTGACACTTGTCTACCCTGGGAATGAAAGTTTTTAGAGGGATAAGTGAAAACAAAACAAAACACAAACCCATAGGTTTACTATATGTGTACATTGATATTGAGTACAAAACTAATGAAAATACTGGCTCTCTACCAATTGGTTTGAAAAGGTAAATTCATACCAGGACTTAGAGGGTCTATGAGGATGACAGCTTGTTTTTCCTCTTTACTATTTCTCCTCTTTACTATTTGTATTATGTGCTTTAGTATTGTTGGGTTTACAGCCAATGAAAAATTTTTGTTTCAATAAATCTTTATTGTTCAGATTATTACAGTTGTTCCTCTTTTTCCCCCATAACTCCCTTCCACCCGTTTCTCACCCCACCCTCCGCCCTCACTCCCTCCCCCCCACTATCATCATCCATAGGTGCACAATTTTTGTTCAGTCTCTTCCTGCATCCCCCACACCGCTTTCCCCCCCAAGAATAGTCAGTCCACTCCCTTTCTATGCCTCTGATTCTATTATAATCACCAGTTTATTCTGTTCATCAGATTATTTATTCACTTGATTTTTAGATTTACTTGTTGATAGATGTGTATTTGTTCATAGTTTGTATTTTTACCATTTTCTACTTCTTCCTCTTCTTAAAGGATACCTTTCAGCATTTCATATAATACTGGTTTGGTGGTGATGAACTCCTTTAGCTTTTCCTTATCTGTGAAGCTCTTTATCTGACCTTCAATTCTGAATGATAGCTTTGCTGGATAAAGTAATCTTGGTTGTTGGTTCTTACTATTCATCGCTTTGAATATTACTTGCCACTCCCTTCTGGCCTGCAAAGTTTCTGTTGAGAAATCAGCTGATAGTCGTATGGGTACTCCCTTGTAGGTAACTGACTGTTTTTCTCTTGCTGCTTTTAAGATTCTCTCTTTGTCTTTTGCTCTTGGCATTTTAATTATGATGTGTCTTGGTGTGGTCCTCTTTGGATTCCTTTTGTTTGGGGTTCTCTGCACTTCCTGGACTTGTAAGTCTATTTCTTTCACCAGGTAGGGGAAGTTTTCTGTCATTATTTCTTCAAATAGGTTTTCAATATCTTGCTCTCTCTCTTCTTCTGGCACCCCTATAATTCGGATGTTGGTACGCTTGAAGCTGTCCCAAAGGCTCCTTACACTATCTTCATATTTTTGGATTCTTTTTTCCTTTTGCTTTTCCGGTTGGGTGTTTTTTGCTTCTTCGTATTTCAAATCTTTGACTTGATTCTTGCGATCCTCTCGTCTGCTGTTGGGGGTCTGTATAATATTCTTTATTTCAGTCAGTGTATGCTTAATTTCTAGTTGGTCCTTCATCACAACCTCAAGGGTCTCATTAGATTTCTTGAGGGTCTCATTAAGTTTATCGGCGATTCCTAGAAAATTCTTGAAAAACCTCAAAAGTGTGGTTTTAAACTCTATATCCAGTAGTTTGCTTTCCTCCATTTCTGTCATTTGTGTCCTGTTTCTTTGTCTCTGCATTTTTTTATGCTTCGCTGTGTCAATAGAGTGGCTTTCTGTGCTAGGTGTCCTATAGGGCCCAGTGGCTCAGCCTCCCCAATTACCTGAGGTAGACACTCTTGGTGCACCCCCTTGTGGGCTTTGTGCACAGTCTTGTTGTAGTTAAGCCTTGATTGTTGTAGGTAACTCTGGGAGGGATTGACCTCCAGGCCAATTGGCTGTGAGAATCAGCTGTGTCTGCAGTGGGAGAACTTCTGTGCTGGAGACACCCCTCCGAGGCAAGACTTGCTTCAATGGGGCTTTGGTGCTCAGTGAGTCTGCCCCCTGAGTGTGTCCTTTATGGATCCGAGGAGCTGCAATCTGGATGGTCCCACTCTGACCCCCGGGCACACTGGCTCCTGGATCTCTAAGGAGGTGCTAATCTAGCCTCTGCCTGAGGCTACCCAGCCGGAGTCAGCTGTGACGCAGTGCAAGTTGCCCTGGGGCCTTGGGACAGCTGCAGTTTGTTAGGTAATTATCAGATTGCAAAGGGCCAGGCCTTTCATATGCAAAAGCCTTGTGGCTTGTGCGAGGCCGGGTCCCAGGGGATCAACAGGGCGGAGCGAGAAGTTATGTCTGCTCTCAGTCCTGCCCTCAGTGGCCCTGCTTCTCAGTGTCCCAGCAATTGCTACAAGCACCCCCGAGAGAAAGCTTCCCTCGAGTTCCGACCGATGCCAGAGAGCCCAGTTTCTCCCGTATGAGTCAGGGTCCCCAGAGACTCTCCCGGAACTGGAGCTCAGAGCTTGAGACTCCCTCCCTATTGAAAAAGACAACCGTGTCCTCAGCCGCCAACCCTCTCCGCATGCGCCTCTGTACCTCTGCATTTTACTTCCGCACCTCCTCTGAGTCTCGGTATGCTTTTCTCTTTCCTTCTAGTTGTAGAATTTCCACTCAGCCAGCCTTCCTGTGGTTCTGGATGATGTCCGTTCCGTCTTTTAGGTGGATTTTTGAAGTGGTTGTGCGAGGCAGCAATCTCCAGTGTTTACCTATGCCACCATCTTGGTTTCTCCTGAAAAATATTTTCTTGCAGCTTTATTGAGGTACTTGGGGCCCAGTGCGTGAATTCGTGCACCTTGAAAGTTACTGTGGGCCACGAGTCTGCCATGGGCACAGGTGTGGGTCTCAGCCTATCTTCTGTGCCCCCACCCAACCTCCCCCCCTCTCCCGCCGTGGGCCCTGGCCCCCTCTCTTCCGGCAGCCCTGCTTCTGCCTCCACCGCTCTCATGGGCTGATGGCGCTGAGTCTGCTCACACCCGCTGACGGTGCGGAGGGATTGGGGCTGGCTCCAGCATCAGGTGCAAGCAGGGCTGACGCTGTCAGCGGGTGCGAACAGTGGCTGCTGCCCCAGTCGCCCCTCAGCTGTAGGGGATTGTGGAGAAGTCCTCAGGGGTGATTGGGGCTGGCAACCACCACTCGCACTTGCTGATGGCGCCGAGTGATCGGTACTGGCACCGGGTGCCAGCAGCGGTTGTGAGCGGTGGCCCTGGTGCCGGCAGCAGGTGGGAGCGCTGGGTGGGACCGCGGCACAGAGGAGAAAAGACTTTTCAGTAACCACCAGAGGCTCGCCCTGATGACAGCGACTGGCTTTCTGCCTTGGTCTGGTGCCCCTGCTCACCTGCTCCGCCATCCTGCCGTGGCCAACACCCACCATGTTCTGCACTCTGCTGCCTGCTGCTGACGCCTGCCATGTTCCACACGTGCCCCCTGGTGGTCAGCGCACGTCATAGCAACTGGTTGTTCAGTTGTTCTGCCGTTCGGTCTATTTGCATATTAGGGTTTTATATATATATATAGATAATTGGCTTATAATATTGTTTAAGTTTGAGGTGTACAGT